CCAGAGGGAATGAATCAGAACAGACATAATAATAGTACTTAGTACAAGATACCTAAGAACCCTGTCAACATTATAAAACATTGATAAATAAAGCTAGGTGTCACTTTTACTTGTATGTAAAATACAAAAAATCACTTTAGCTAGTAATTCATCACAAAAACAAAGTTATGGGGTTGGGGTGCAGAACAAGGTAGAGTACTTGTCTAGCACTTAAGAAACCCCAAGGCTTTATACACACACACACAAAAAGACAGGTCCTTCAAAAGCAAACAAAACAACAACAAAAAAGCACTCCATTTATGAAACAAGTATAACCCAAGGGATTGTATTTTTATACTGAAAATACTCAAAGGCAATTTCCCATTCCCTTGTGACATGTGTAGAATTATACTTTGTGAAAACCCTTCATAATATGGTCTTGAAAACAAAATAGATAATGCAGGTAAAAACTGTGTTTTCTGCTCTATGTATTAGGTAGCTGGCACTAAAGAACAATTTGAAATGTGTAAATCACTGTTTCAAGCAGGGTGTTTTATTTATTTCCATATATAAATAAGCTACAAAATAAGTGTGTGTATATTGTATTTATATGTATAATATTCATAATTGAACATGACTTGAGAGGGGGAAAAAGGCAATTTAGTACTTTTCTAAGCATCTAGCTTTTCATTAAAAGTGCAAGAACGTTAACTACATGTATTGGGTTCATTTCTCTGCTCAGCTTGAGACGTGAAAGAATAATTTACTAGTCACAAGCAAATATGAAATGATAATGCTCAAAGATAAATAAAGTGTTAATATCTTTGATTCTTTTTTCATTATCTGCCAAGCTTATTTCTACTTACATTCTAAAATATCTTCAAATGTCTAACCTTAAAGGGCAACATGAACCACATCTCCAGCTCCTAAAAATAATCCAAAGAACATTAAAAGAGTCATTTGCCTTTTTGTGTCTGGACACAGATGCTACAGATTTTCATAAAGATGTACCACCGCTTCCAAGTACCACATGCTATTCTCCGACTATACATGAACAAACCCCAATTTTTTCCCAATCTTTCATAAAAATTTCCAGGTAAAAGACAGACAGAAATTTTCAAAGTTTATACAAATAAAAAAAGAGAAAAAGCTTACACATAGCTCATGTTTCTTGTTTTTCTGTCCATATATTAACAAAAATAAGACGTTGAAAAATTATGAGAGGAAAAAATTAAGAATACAGAAATAGAATCATAACCCAAGGGGGAAAAGTGAAAAAGAAAATAAAAAAACCTCTTCCATCCATGAAAACTAGACTGACATATGTCTAAGGTCACATCTTAATTTACACAGCTCCCAATGCTCTCCTACTGCATCTCCATTAATGACCTACCACCTCCAAAGTCTGTCAATCAATTTTATATTTGCTAGTAATCTAATTAAAATATCAACATGGCCTGCCTCTTTTGTTCTCATTTAACCTACTTCACTTGCTCACTGTCTGGTTAAAATCAGAGTTCACCTGCACTGTAATCAAATCTCTTCAAAAATCTACTTCTAACATTCCTTTTAGACTTTTCTACATCCCTCCTAAACACTAGATAACCTCACAAAAATGTTCCCTTTGCTTGTAATACAAGTTTCCCTCTTTGAATTATTCACCTTGGAAAATATAAACAGGCAAGAACTGAGGTTCATAGAAATAACTGACCCAAAGGCATAATTTATGATAGAATAACAGGAAGGATACCGTAAAATACAAATTCTTCATTTGATGCTTCTAATGTCCTTTCTATGTACCTTTATATTTTTGTCAAATATATCAGAGTTGGTTAAATGTCAAGCTCTTCTCATTGGTCTAAATATTAGCTCTTCCAAGATCATCCTTTGAGGCCCAGACAGGAGAGATCTGTTACTATTTAAAAACAAGACTTTACTAAGATTGATGTACGAATTTATTCATCTTAAGGGCTAGCTGGACACACATCAAAAACTGCAGGACCTATAGCCAGAAATCCAAAGGAAGAATGGAAGTTCAAAAGCAGTGGGGTTTACCTCCAGCATACCATGATTCACTCACTGTGGTTTACACGTGTCCAGCTAATTAGATTGAAGGATTATCTTATCTTGTTTTAACTAAATAAACCCTTACAACATTTTTTTTTTCAAAAAACAGTCAACAAACATAGTATTACAAGCATAAGCCATTAAGAAAATAGAAAGGCTAAGAAGACTAACCAATATAAACCATTCCTCATCTACATTTGATATAAAATAATCTAGTCAATCATACAGATCTCATTGAAAATTACAACTTTAATGGAAACAAACAGTAATATTAAAACAATGTTTAACTTTCTTAAATACCTAACTTATGTAATTATTTATACTAATATACTATGTCATATTAGCACACATATATAACTTACAAAAATTAGACACATTTTAAAGGCACATGCACAGTTTTAGTAATTAGAACATCTATTCAAAGGCATGGATCACATCTTCCACTTCAGTGAGATGATCAACTTCCCATGCCAATGACTGTCAGTTCTGCATCTCTAGCATCTGAACATTTTTCTTTATATTGTAAGAGACTTTGAAGACCTCAGCAAATTAAGAGTTCTGAGACATGAAGAGTCTCCTAGATTTGACCAGGAGTACACCCAATATAGTAAGTCCTTAGAGGAGAAAGAGGAGGCAATAAGATGAGTCATAAGCAGATGTTGAGGGCTGAAGAAAGAGGTTGAAGTGATGTGAGACAGGAGAAAGAATACAAGCAACCCCTAGAAGTTAAAGTAAAGAAATGGGAATCCCCTATCCCCCCCAGGATGAACCAACCAGCTATTGCTTCTTAACTATTTTGGCCTAGCAAGACTGATTTTGGACTGCTGCACACACACCCTAGAACTATAAAATAACTACATGTAAGCCACTGAATTCCTGGTAATTTGTTACAGCAGCAGTAGGAACTAACAAAGGGGCTTCTTAGCCACTATCTCTTCAGTACTGAAAACAAGATGGACTGCTCACTTTTAAGAGTCACAATGTTTACTACACAGTAACATAAGAAAACACCTTTGAATGCTTTAGTAATGAAGTACATAAATACGATGTCCTTACTGTTTACTATAAAGAGTGGCCTATGTGTTACCTCATTTACTTCTAGTAACTTGAATACAAATGGATCAATTTTATCATACTGAGACTCCAATGACTAAAGTTCAAAGAAGTTATATAACATGTTGGAGTGGTTGTATCTAGTAAGTGATGGCACCATATCTGTCTACAACACAGGCCTTATTTCCTAGAGTCAAAAGAGGTTCAAATCTAAGATCCAGAATGAAGTAGCTGCTTAACCTTAACCATGTTTCTCAGTTACAAGCTTAACTCGGCCTCTCTACTTACTCATCTGTAAAATGCAAAATGAAGTTACCATTACCTACCTGAGTGGGCTGTGCTGACAAAGATGCTAAAATGTACACATGCCACATGCCTGGTATGGCTGACAAATACTGGCTACCACTGCTGTTCTGTAGCTATGCTACAATCACACCTAGAATACATTGTCCTACGTATCCAAGAATTATGATTAACAGTGTGCAAAAGAAAAAAAGGCAACCATTATGAATGAGATGGACAGGCTGGGTTTGTTTTTCTGTTAAGGTAAATCTATAATACTCTAAGCAGAAAAGACAAAAACAGAAAGGTTTATCACAATCTATCAAACGATGACAGTGTAAGATCAGACTAAAATGAGTAATACTAGAAGGTAAAGAGGTAATATGAACATTCAACACTCCATCTACAAAACAGAAGTGGGTAACACAACTTGGAGACAACTTCTGGACAAAAGGAGAAAAATGGCCACAAGGAGAAGCTCATCAACTCTAAGAAATTGCTGTCTAACCCCACACCCGTTTCAGATACCTGTTTCTGTTAACGAGTATTTAAAGGGCTCAGAATGACAAACAGGAGACCAAACATTTTGTTCTCCAAAATACAGACCCTTCCAGTCAGATTTTCTCAAACAGGAGATTTCTTTTCACCCTTATTAATATATTATTCTATAGGAGCAAAAACTCTACAACTTCAGAGTCCCTGGATTCCATTACACACCCATAAAACGGAATTGTTGCTAGTGCTTTGAAGAAGCTATATAAGAAAGTCTATCTAGATTTTAATGTAAGAAACAAAATCACTTCAACAGAAAGGCCATCCTTTCGGTCACCAAACGTCACGACGCTGAAGGAATTCTCCCAGGAATTCCTTCAGAAAGACTGGCTTTCCCAAGTACACCTTTGGCAATCCTTTGGCTCGCAAGCTATTTCTGCTCCTCAGAAACCAGAGATATGCTTAAAACGAACTTAAAAGTTTCAGAGACAAAGAACGGAACAGGTAGCAGATTGATTAGTTTACTCTACCAGTACCAAAGGCCATGACCGAAAACTACGGTAGACACTCCGTGATACCTTCTCCATCAAGGTAACCAGAAAAGGGCTTCATAAGACCTGTGCTTCAAGAACAGCAGCCCAAAAGAGACCACTGGTCAAGACTGCGCGAGAACTGACCAGAAGAACAACTGTTTATACGGTACTCTTACCCTCATGCCGACTCACGTTTTCAAAATCACAGGTCCGGAACGCATCACACCTGACTCGCCCATGCCCTGACCTCATAAGGAAAGCAAATGACTGCCAGGAAAACCGAGTTAGTCGCTCGCCAGCTCTCTAAACACTACCCAAACTGCCCCTTCTGCAGCGCGGGAGCACCTGAGCACAAAGGCACCAAGTGATCCCCCTCTGTTCCCTTCTCCCCCCCCCCCCCCGTCGGACTCTGTAAATTCCAAAACACAACTCGATCATCTCAAGAGGAGGAGCCGGGTGGCCGCTGTGTCCCCTGCTTGGGGAGCAGGAGCACCCGCAACCCCCAAAAGCCAAGATGACTTGGGGGTGTGACCCGACCTGCTCCCTCTCCCCTATGGTGCCCACGGAAAGTCCCGCGAGGTCGCCCCTACTCACCAGACTAGCGAGCAGAGAGAAAGGCAGGAGACCAGGGCCAAGGCCCGCCGGTACTTCTTCATCTTCTCCTCCTTCTTCCCCCTGCCAGGAGGCGGCACATCCTCCCCGCAGCAGTCACTGCCGAGGCCAAGATGGAGGAGCCGGAGCAGGAGCGCGAGGCTGGGACCGAGAGTCCGAAGGGCTGTGGCGCTAGGGGAGCGGTTCCGCGGTGGCTTGCCTCCCGCCCGGCCTCCCCGAAAGGCCCACGGCAGCGCAGACAGGGACGCTTCTTCACAGGGACGCTCCGGAGACTGCCGCCGCCGCCGCTGGGTCCGCCCGCTCGCCCGCGCCCGCCTCCTCCGGCCGTCGCCGCCACTGCCTCCCCATCCCCGCCCCACCCGCTCGAGCCCTCGCTCCGTGCTGCCAGCGACCAACGGCCGCCGCGTACTCGCCTCTCAACAGCCAATGGCCGCCCGGGCCCCGACACCCCGCACGCCGCTGAGCTGGAAGGAGACGCGTCACCCACGTCCCTCTCCGCTCTCTACACCAGGCTCCGCGCGGGCCACGCCCCCGCCGCTGACAAAGCTCCCGAGCGACTCAACCGCCGCCCAGCCTACGCGGGTCCCGCCCACTAGCTGGCGTTCGAACAGGAAGTCCTGTGACCCTCGGCTTTCCGCCTTTGAATGGGCCGCCCCTCTTGCTGCGCGCGCCGCCTCCTCGCACGGCCGTCTGGGGGTTGTAGTCCTCCTACCCGAACCCCTTTTCTAGCTCCTTAGAACCTAGAATTAGAACTTAGAACCTTAGACTCTAGAATTTTTGAGTTATCACTTCTCAGGCTGACTAGTTTCGTTATTGTTACGTCCGGTTTTCTTCCTTTGAGTACAGTCATGGAATGGCCTAGAATTACTGGGGACTGTCAGAAGAAAGCCTTACTAACGTAATTTAAAAATCGGTTTACCCAAGGAATTGGGTCTGGCTTATTGAAGTAAATGCTGATTGGAAGATAGAAAGAGGCGTGTCGAGGTTTCCTCTCATAGGATTGGCTGGGACTGGGAGACTGAGGGTTTTTTTTTTTTTTTTCTTGTACCTAAGTGAGAATTCATTCCTATCTGCCCACCAGATTCCTGAGATGTAGAATTCGTTTTTGTTGTCTTTATTTCGGGCTTTGGGTTCGCTGCAACGAGACAGGCACTGCAGACAGACGCTCAGCATCCTAGGGTACCTCAAAAGCAGGGAAAGCCGCCTTCTCCACACACTTGCTGTAAACTGGGCAAAAAGAAAATTCAGTGTTTGATGTTCACAGCGTGGAGACCCCAAGTGTGTACGGAGCTGAGAACCCGGGATCATAATTTAGGGAACGCTGGCGTGCAACTTCAGAATGCTTTATGGAGCTTTCTGATCCTGAAACGCGGCTGTTGGAAGAAACATTTGTCCTTGTCTGTGCTGGCACACTTCTTACTAGTACAAATAATTACTCTGACACTAATAGAAACTAGTCGTTACTGATAGATATTTCTTTTATTGGATACAAAATATAGAAGTGCAACTCAATTTTATTGCTCTTACTGCCTTTTCCTACTGCAAGACAAAACTACTTTCCGAAGAAAGCTGTTCAACAAGGTGGAGGAAGGGGACACAGGGTTACTGTCAATTATCTGTCTCAGGGCATAATATAGTTGTTTCTGTTATTGGAGGTAGGGTGGGCGGCTTAAAAGTGACGAGACTTATTCATGCCTTCATAAGAAAAACGCAAGGAAAATGCCTAATGAATACCGTTTTTGAGACATGGTGTTTACCTTAAGAATCTAAGTTGAATGAGTTGTTATATTCCAGAGGACAAATAACCCACCGAGTAATTCTTGGAAATAATACAACCATATGTTAGGAAATCTATGAAAGATGCTAATATTGTCCTCAGAAGAGTTCTCCTTAAATTACCTTTATCTGTCAATTAAATAGTTAACAGTTGATGCCATTTCTAGTTATATGACAGTAAAAACCTTTTGTCTATTCCCCACAGCCCACCAGCATTTACCTCAAAAACAAAACCAAATTATTAGTATGCAAGTGTTTTTTACATATTGGAGACATGGTGTTGCCATGTAGTGCAGATTGGTCTTGAATTCCACTTTCTCCCTTCCTTAGCCTCCTACTTGTTTGTTGTTGTTGTTGTTGTTGTTGTTTTGTTTTGTTTTGCTTTGTTTTTGAGAAAGCATCATACTGTTTTCATGTATCTTAGTTAGGATTTCTATTTCTATAATAAATTACCATGTCCAACATCAATTTGGTGAGGAAGGGTTTATTTGGTTTACAGTCAGTCCACTACAAAAGAAAATCAGAGCTGGAACGTCAGTACAGGAACCTGGCCAGAGGCAGGAATTAAATCAAATACTGTGGAAGAACACTGCTTATTGATATTCTACAGCTGTCTCAGTCTGATTTTTGTTTTAAAAGTACTTATTATTTTGTATGTGTGAGTGCTTTCCCTGTGTGTATATCTGTGTACCAACATGTGTGCCTGGTGCCTATAGAGGTGTTGAGTAGTTATCTGGGTGTTGGGAATTGAACCCAGGTTCTTTGCAAGAATAACAGATGCTTTTAACTACTGAGCCAATCCTCCAGTCCATCAGCCTGCTTTCTTATACAGCTCAGAACTACCTTCCCAGAGTTGACATCCCCTACAGTAAACTGGGAATTCCTGTATTCCCACATCAATAGTTAATTAAGAAAATGCCCTATAGACTTGCCCACACGCAATCTGATGGTGGTATTTTCTCAATTGAGCTTCCTCTTTACAGATGATTCCAGCTTGTGCCAAGCTGACAATAAATCAAAACAGGAACAACAAATAGAAAACAATGAGGACAATTAACTCCTTGTCAACTTGATACACAAACACATTCCTATTCAACTATAACTTTTCTTGTTTATTTAAGATCTCATTTTAAGGCCAACATCACAATATAAGACATTCCGACTTCCCATAGTGCCACAGTCTGTCTCACTTTACTGACTTACTAAGACAGCGTGGACTCTATACATTTAGATGTCCTTGAAGAGTTTATAAGAATTCACATTCTCTGTTCCCTAGCTAGATGTTTTTGTCCTTTTTATAGTAGTCATTCTTACTAGAGTAAGTTTCTATAATATTATTTTTAATCTGCATTTCCCTAAGAAATAGTGAAAGTATTTTTTCATGTAGTTATTGTATACCTTCCTTCCAGAAATGTCCATTAGGTCTTCACTTATATTTTAACTGGATTATTTGTTTTATTTTTTAATTTTTATAAGAGAATCAGATATAACAAAATCTCTCAATTCGATAAAGTCTAGAACTCCTAACAACACACCTACACATGGTAACTGATGTTCCCTGTCGGTCCTTGATTATTCTGGAACTTACGAAGGGCTGTGCTGTACGATGAACAAAAGCCCAGCCATTCCCCAAAGGTTAGCTACACAGAAACTATGTAGAGTTCAGGCCCCAGCCCTGATAAAGATCAGAAAGTCTTCCCTGGTGGTAAGAAAGAACAGGGAGACCTCAGAAAGAAAGCCAGCACCTTCTGCCCAGCCACTTTGTTCTTTGTCTCACATATCAGTCATACCTAAGAAGCTCAAGAAAAGAGCTGTTTTGTCCCATTTAAGGAGGTGTTTTTTGATCAGCAAGCTTTGACGTATTTTGATTGACTTGAAACTCTATCTGCTTCTTTTATTGCCAACAAAATGCTGAGAGGTCTGTGTCTAAGAAAGCTCTGTATAGTTGTTACCTAGTGTGATTTGATGCTTCCATGGTGAGAAGCCAATTAGGCCAGAAATTGCTTGGAAATGGGTGAAAACTGCCAGAGTGTAAAGGATAAACCATTAGTAGAAAGGGTGAGTGTGGAAATCAGCACTTAAAACTTCATGTATGAATAAGTACAATTGAATTTATTATTTGTCCCCACCTAATTTCCTTCCTTATGTACCTTTTTTATTTAGCTACTTTTTTTTAATTACAAAAAAAACTTACATTACCTTGTCAATCTATCTTAGTATCATGTATAATTTGACTATTTGGGGAGGAAAAGGTGAAATTTAGAAGGGAATAAAATAAAAAATTCTATTTCTAGGTTAGAAATTCTATTTCTATTTTAATTCTGTAGAGTTCAGTTTATCTTTCAAAGAACAAAACCACTTGTGCATTGAAAAAATTTAGCCTGCAATTGTGGTGCTAGTTTGTGAATCCTAAAACCCAGGAAACTGAGGCCAGAGGATTATGAGCATGCCACCAGTCTGAACTGCATAGCATCGCCCTGCCTCAACCTTATACTTTTGTTTTACGATGCCAAACTCAGGCTTCACAAGTTTAGATCCCAAGTTTAACATATGAGTGCTTTTTAGATGGCTAGGTTTAATAAGCTCAAAGAGGAAGTAACCAGGGGAAACGTGGGTGATAAAGAGGGAGAAAGCAACGTACAGCTTCCAGGTGAAAAGGGAGCACTGATATAAAAACCAGGAGCTCCAGGTTATCTGTGTTAACTCTGTGCCTCTCTAACAGAATACTTTAGGCTTAACTGTTTTTTAAATTGAAGATATTTGGTTTTTTTGTTTTGTTTTGTTTTGTTTGTGTTTTACAGATCTAGAGGCTGAGAAGTTCAAGATCAATTGATGGCTCTAGGGAGGACCCAAGGATGACTTTCTCTCTGTGTCACAGCTTGGCAGAGACAAAGGGAGGGAGAGAGTAAAAAGTGGAGAGAGGCAGGAGAGGGATTGGAGAGGTAATGGAATGGAGAAGGAGGAGGGAGAGAGGGAGAGCTCTTTATCAGGAATCTGATTTTGCAGTAATGGCATAAAACCCTTCACGAGGGCAATCTTCCTGATATTCCTTCTTGTTTTTTTTTTTTGTTGTTGATTTTTGTTTGTTTTTTAAATCCTACACACAGACACTGTTGCACTAGAGATTAAGTTTCCAACATACAGACTTTGTTTGTAAGGAGAATTCCTTTGGTTTTGAAACACAGTACTAAATTTAAGGCTCTGTGGAAATATCTGGCAACAACTTTGCAGAATAAGATTAGGAGGAAGTGGATGAAAGTGGAAAGTGATGCCAAGGTACACAGGAGGAAGTGGAAGAAAGCAGAAAGTGATGCTAAGGTACGTATTGGAGATTCTGTTGTGTCCCTCCTGCACAACAGGTAATTGCTTCCTAAAACTTTGGCTCTATCCTGCCTTGATTTCATTCAAAATCTCCTATTGGCCTAAATGGCCAATAATAAATAAATAAAAGCCTGCTTCAAGGCCTTCTATAATTCAACGTATCTGATGGTTCAAGACTTATCTACCATTTTTTTCCTTTTAAAACTCAA